TATTTCTGCATGTTGTCTTTATCCTTAGATTTTGATAAGTAACATCTTCCGTGTTGATTAGGAATGCAAACCAACCAAGCTGCACGATGCGTAACCACACAGAGTCCTTGTACAATGCAACTTCTCTTATTTATTTGACTGTGAAGCTGCAACTATAAGATAATTACCATTTTAATAAATTCCTAACAAAATGGTAATGTCAAATATGGTCTCTTTCATCAAATGACTCAAAGTATACGGGCCGAGTTCGTACAAAATCACGGCCTCTTAATATTCAGAATCATCTGACGGTATAAAATTCTACACATTCAAACGGCCTCGATTACTCAGGCCGATTGTGTAAAATTGGGTCCAAACATTGCCCCCCAATTTCCTTGAGCTTCGGCTCGTAAGCCGAATGGTTAAGGAAATTAAGTTTCTTCAACTAATCACAAGCGGCATCAAAAAATATAAATGACCACCGAAGCTCCACCGAAGAAGTCTATCACCAAAGCTATGGTCGAAGAAAAATGTGGTCAAGGACAATTATGGTCGAGGACCGAATCCATCAAATTGATTCAAATATATATATGGTAGAGAATAGACCACCCCACCGAATGCAAAGTCACATGGTGGATCACCTCCTCATAACATCCAATGTCGAGAACCTCCAAGTTTCTGCAAAATCTATCCGTAGGGTCTTGATTTCACGAATTGCTTCTCAACTTGTCTCTTTGGCAGAAGCCACACACAAATATAAGCTGCCGAGCTGAACTTTCAAATCGACTCATTCAACTGTTGCTTTCTCAAGTTTCTGAGTCAAGAAATACATGGCCGAGAAATATGTCATTGATCACGACATACACCCCACTATCATCGAACTGATGTCGAATTCACAACTCTTTTCTCAGCAAACTTGGGATACATCAGCGTTATACACACAGTAAAGAGGCACTTTTAAAACCCCAGAATTTCTTACCGTCATTCGGCTACCATTATCATCGGCTATCTACTTTAAGGGCCAAGAAAGACCTGATTCTTGGTAGTTGGGCCTACCACCAATCATGAATGCTCTGATCTCTTCTCGGTAATGGCATCCTGAAGCAAGCTATATATATATATAACCCCATGACCGATTGGTGTATATTTATATACGGCTATGTCCTGATGTAAGCTAACTTATATATATATATATATACACACATATATTAAACTCCATGTCGAAACTCAATTGAGTGTGTTCTGCCAACATGCATCTTTGATAGTCCTAGGTCCTCCCAATTGAGTCATGCATATATAAATATAATGTTGAATTTGCATGCATTCCTGCCATCGAGAAAAATTAGGCCGAGTTAAAGAAAAAGGGCGAGGTCGCAAAACATTGGGCCGAGAAAAACCATTCTTGGCAGCTCGGCCAATTCATCAATCTTGAACGTGATATATTAAACCCAATGTCAAAACCAAGGCTTTAAAATGATTTGTCGGCCATGCATCTCTATCTTATATATATATATAACTTTAAATGGTCAAAAAGTCTTAATGGCCGAATGACCTGGCCGAATGGAAAATCAAGTTCCATGCCCGAGAGTGTATATATATAACTTCAAATGGTCAAAAGTTTTAATGGCTGAATGGAAGTCTTAATGGCCGAATGACTTGGCCGAATGGAAAAACCAAACTCCCATGGCTGATCGAAGGGAAGGAAGGTCGACCGAATTAGATGGATAGGTGTAGAGCATGCTACAAATATTCTTCTTAACAGTCATTTGAGTTGTGGGTTTCGACCAAGAGGAGTCTACCAAAGATCACCAATAATCAATAATCACATGATTCAGAAATGTGAAAATCAGCCAAGCCATGTGGCCGATGACTATTGAGAAACCACCGCCGAATAAAAATGCATTCGGCACTAAAATTCCAATCCTTCAGCCCAGCACACCATTTTGTTGCCCCCTTTATTTTCTCAAGTATTGGCTGAAAAACCGAATGGTTAAGAAAATAATTTATTCATTATATATATATATATATATATTAGCAAACGAAAATAAAAATGGCCGAACCATAAAGTGGAGGAGGAGGCCAACGATCTTTTATTCTGAGCTGAGATCTTTTTATATCAAAATTCTCAAATTGATCTCGCTCCAAGCCAAGAAAAGAATTTTCTCCAAATATTTCTGTCTTGACGAAAGATTTTTTACCATCGGCCGCCGAAAGTGTTGGACAATTATTATGCCCCCCAAGCATAATAACTTCGCCAATTTCGGCTTTCAATTCGAACAACTTAGCCGAATGGGATTTCTCCATATCGACTTTATCACCAATAATCATATCGATTGGCATTGGTTCGGCGTCTAAAACCATGTCTCCAATTACCATATCAATTGATGTGGTTTTATGGTCTGAAGTCGTGTATTGGTCTTGTTCGTCATTGGAACACTCCTCTGACGAATCATTTTCTGAGTCAATTTTTAGCTCAGAAACCTGAACATTTTCTTCTAGGCCTGCCACACTTTTAGCCTTGACCGAAAATATAGTTGGCCTAGGTTTTTCTTCTTGGCCGACCATATTTTCGGTCTCGACCAAAAAAATAGGCGGCCTTTGTTCTTCGGCCAAAGTAACAATTTTTTTAGGCCAATGTCTGATTATGGCCGGAGCGGAAAATTACCCCTTGGTCTTTTCAACCAACCATTCCTCAAATGGAATCAATTTGTAGTAAAAAACGTAAGGAAAATATTTTCCATCTAGCCAGGTATTAAATCGAGCCCTGTCTTCATTTACCCATTGCTCTTGCAGGGTAACATGAGCTTTTATTCTCAACATGTAAGCGAATGACTTTTGCATCTCTGTATGGCCACGAAGAATTTTTTCCACTTCCAAAGATCTTTTTCATTCCTCATTGTGTTTTTTCAATTCCTCTCGGAGCTCGTACAATTGGCTACGTGGAGCCGGATTGGAATCTTGATATATCATATGAACTTCGTAGTTTTAGCATTGTGTCCCACTGGGCGTGCCAACTATGTTGATCCTAAAAATTACAAAGCCTATGTGGCGTGCAGGCCGAGTAATTAATAAGCTAACTACGTCATTCGGTTGAATACGGGGTGTGCCAACTCGTCGGCCGAGCTTGGCCGAGAAGTAAAATTTGTTGATGTTGCGTTGAGTACGTTGCTGACTTCTTTATCTTGCGACTGCGGCTGAGGAAGGAACAAATCTCGGCCTTTGGATTCTCGAGCCTGAAGACAAGGCTGCTAGTTCTGCGAAGTTCACGAATCGTCGACGTTATATTTAGTCACAGTGATTATATTCGTGAGAGTATAAGCACATCGAATCGACACCAGACTATATGGACATAAGTATTCAAAAGTAATGTGTGTCTTGATGGTAAATGTGGTTCAGACCTCAGAATGCCGAACTCTGAAACTCACTTAGGAGTATCCAATCATAAAACCACTCGGCGTTTAATGCACCGAATGTCGTAACTCGTAACACCTTACTTCGCCAAGAAAGCTAATAAGATGACCTCTACCAATAAGGATTCGGAAACCCTTCTCGACCGAAACTTGGATAGGAAACCAATCGGCCTCGACGCAGTGCTGTTTATCCAAACTGAAGGTGCTTCGCGATCGGCTGATTCTACGGCAACAGTGCTGTTTATCCAAACTGAAGGTGTTCGCTCGTTGCCTTCACAGATCCAAACTGAAGATGTGTCGGCAGGAAAAAGAAAATTAAAAATCTCAAGATGTTTGAGAGGTTTTGAGCAGGGCAGTTGTGTGTTGAATTGAAGGTTCTTTGATTGTTGCACGGTGCCTCTTATTTATAGGGACAAGTGCGTGTTGGTTGAGAAGCTCTAAGGCTGATTGAAGTTCCACCATCCTACTAAAACTCTTCCACCGTTCAAGTTTCAGTTGAATCCTACAATACCGGCCTTCTGAACTTAGTAAAAAATGCAACCAGATTCACATTCACTCCACATGCAGCCCTGTGATTAAACAAGATAAGCACTCATTTTATATTAATAAGAATGTAGACATTTAACCAAAATGCCTTTTATCCATATCATTTTACTTCCAACCAAATGCAAACCATGCATTATCAAAATGTTCATCCTGATCACATCTCATATTTTTGCATGTTGTCTTTATCCTTAGATTTTGATAAGTAACATCTTTCGTGTTGATCAGGAACGTAAACCAACCAAGCTGCACGATGCGTAACCACAGAGTCCTTGTACAATGCAACTTCTCTTATTTATTTGACTCTCAAGCTGCAACTATAAGATAATTACCATTTTAATAAATTCCTAACAAAATGGTAATATAAAATATGGTCTCTTTCATCAAATGACCCAATGTATACGGGTCGAGTTCGTACAAAATCACTGCCTCTTAATATTCAAAATCATCTGTTGGTATAAAATTCTACACATTCAAACGGCCTCGATTACTCGGGCCGATAGTGTAAAATTGGGTCCAAACAGTAGCAGGACCAGAATTTCCTTTAGACAAACCATTCATATTAAGTTTAATCCAAGGATACCAAGGAGAAGACCATAACACGGGAAGAATAGGAGGTACCTTGCGAAGAATAGGCTGAATAATATTTAAACCATGAGAGAATCCATGAATAAACATCCTGCCATGCACGAGCTCAAAAATGATAAACATGCAAAGACGATGGTAAGAGATTGAACGAGCCGGAAAAATAAACTTGTTTTGAACTTTCTGAATAGCCGAACTAGTTAAAAGACCCGCAATGACCCATAGATTGGCCTACTGACAGAAAAAGGGCTTCCGCACAAAAATATCCAGAAAAAACAACTAAAGAATATGAAAAAGGCAAAGATGTACCAATCAACATGCTAACCACTAAAGATGCTTAGAAACTGACAGCCATAAAAAAGATTAGCAACAGATTCCTGAAAAACATGACAAACACAACAAACATAAGCCGAAGAAATACCACATCACTGTGTATAGTCGAGGCGGAATGACGCCAAAACAAAATAGATAGTCGAGGCGGAATGAAATGCCGGCAAATAACTTTTTCCCAAGCACAATCACTGTCTCATTCAAATTAGATCATAACTAGAAGAGAAAGGAAAATTTCCCAAAAGGGGATGGCTCCCAAATCAATTTGTCAAGGGTAAAGGAGGATGCAAAAATTTTCTGTGCCACATTGTAACTTATGCTGCTTCACATTGTAATTGAGATAAAATTTATGGGTACAAGGGATGAGTGAAAGCATATACACAAAAACTTTAACAAATCAGGTGCCAAAACCAGGCTGAATTACGCACAAATCCTGATTTTACAGCCACAAGTGTCCGTCTCTCTGGCTCCATCATAAAAACCTGAAATTAACCACAGTAATCAGTTTCATTCATGAAAAACGCCATACCTGGTATCACAACCACATAAACCAAAAGCTCAAAACATGACATGCAAATGATTACAGTTCTGATAAGAGATTACGAAGATCGACCAAAATACAAAATAATGCCAAATTGTGAAATTTAGATACATTTTGGCGAAGGACACAAATTACACCAGCAAGCCGATGATGCAATAGCCACTTCTTATTCCCTAAAGAATCTGAGTTAAGTAATAAACCTGCTTTTGCCCAACAATAAAAGCACAATAGCCACTTCTATGGGGTTCTTAACCGCAAAACACAACAGAAATCAAAGAGTAATATAACTTACAATGGACAAAGCTTGGTGGGAGCAATGATGCCTGGTTATTCGTATTCATCTCCAATGCTCCAAAGCAACCTAAACCATATTTACAGGAACGGAAAATTTAATTTCACCCAAGCACCACCAGAGTACTTCAAAAGAGCCACAAACAATTTACTAAGGGAGTGAAAAACAATACCAGAATAAAGAAAGAATGAATAGGACCAAAAGATAGCCAATCTTAAAAAAGCGTTGCTTTTTCTCCCAGCTCAGTTGGTTATAGATCTCAGTCACATCTACCAAGTGTCGTCTCGTCACATACCTGACAAAGAGTCACAGATCATATCAGATATGATGATAAACTCTAATGCGGTATCTAAAGAAGTTTTCTGAATAAAATTATTACTCTCCTAATCATATGAAATTGAAATAATATGATTCTTTTCATGATCAATCATTGCCCAGCTTTAAAGAACAAAAATAAATTGTGTTCTCTACAACTTGGAAATTATGAATGTTCCACGTCTAGTTTTGCATGCTTCATTAAAAACATCAAAAAATACAGTAAATACACCGATATTAGTATAATTTCCTAATGCACTCAATATAATTTGCAATCCAAATTATATTATGACATGATGCCATCCAGAGACCATTGTGCATTTAGTTTGAGTATTAGCATCCATATAGGTAGGTTATGAATGGCAGAAGGCACTGTTCAACACGCAGACATAGAGAGAGGGAGGGAGGGAGCACAGTGAAAGGATGGGTAACAGGTGGAGGGAGGTTATGAGAAGGTACAATTTCATTATCTGGGGTGGAGAAATGTCACTTAATTTGTTAAAGCATATTACAAATTTCTCAAACCGCCTCTCAGCCAATTGACAGTTCATGGTAAGGATCCAGATTTCACCAAAAATTATTGAGTAGTCAGTCTTATTAGAACTAGAAATTCTAAAAATCCAGATTTCACCAAAAATATTGCCAGTTCATAACTTGACCGTATGTCAATATCAATAAAACCAAATTGTAATCAAGTATAAAATCCTTATCCCAACTTGTTATTAACATGTAAATGGGGTTGTGTTTGGGCTGTATTCCGTTCTTCACCAAAAACATGTAAACGGGGTTACAGTGACACACCAGAATGCTACCATCATTTATTGTAACAACTATTCTCTTACAATGTTCAGTTGATTACCTAGCTGCCTTACATACCATGTAGCAAGCTTCACTTGGAACAAAGTTATAGTCTAATCATATTCAAGTTTCCCACTTTTCAGTTAAGTATTGGTCAAAATGATGAATTCATAATCCACCATGAGCAATTTTTTTCTTTCAAGATTAACGCGATATATGGAAAGGCATACCAAAAAAGAAAAACCCATAACCATGTAGTTGACACTAAATTTATATGTAACTTAAGCTCTACCCGATGATTACACAGAGGTCGTCAGTTATACAATTCTAGACACAACAACAGTTGAGTAATGGGCGAGAAAGAAACTTACAAATTGACATTATAATATAGGTGTGGCAGAGCCATGAAAAGCATGAACCAATGTCGCGCTATAAGAAGAATGAAGCACAAAACTCCTTGAATAACAAATTCTGGCAAAATGACATTGTTTATCCGAGATGATGAATCATATGGGTTGATGTAGTCATACTCGAGGTCCACCAAGCACACAAGCTGCATTCAACATTCACAGGGGTCATATATCTAAAAATCTCAAGAACTGCGACTAAGTAACCAGATTCACCACACAGTGCAAGACTTTTTATGTGTCATAGCTAAATATGACTTGTAGAACAACTCTGGTAGGTAGTAACAGGAGTTATCGACACTTTCCGACAAGAAACTGTATTGAGTGTAAACAAAAGTTCCCCTTCATTTAACTAGAATTTCAGCACAATATCTAGGAGTATTTTCACCATAATTAAGCTTATGCCTGATCATTTTTTTTTTTTTTTGTTTTTTTCGTTTTACAAACTCAGGTTGTTCGGCACTAGAATGTAACTTGAAATCGATATGCATGTCTTTAAATTCTCAATGCGCACACACGCACACGTAAAATTCCTACATACTGATATTTTCTACAAATTTTGTAAAAGAACCAACCTTAGTGGCCCTTTACCATACTGGTGGAAAAGAGTTGAGCCCTTACGTAATGGCGTGGGTTAGAACTCCGTCGGTGGCTAATCTAAATCTAATCTAACAAAATCTATCGTTTGATAGAAGATGAAAAAATACAGCCTTGACACATTGAGCTAGTATTTCTTTTTATTTACAAGTTTTGTAAAATTCCTTCCTGCAAGTTCTGCAACATGCTTTCTAAGCCAACTTACATTGAAGGGTAAAAAAAATTGTGGAAATTTTCAAAAGAACAATAGAAAGATAAATCCCCTTTCTAGTTTCATGAAAATCCAAAACAACATATGCGAATAGATACTTGATTTCAAATTAAAAATAAATAAATAAATTAAGAAAAACTAATTACATTATAAAGGTGAAATCTAAATACCCAGATGATCCTAGTCTGTGAATCAAATGAGCATGTTTTGAATAAATAAAATAAAATAATTTAATTAATTAAAAAAAAAGTGGGATAAAATCGAGGAAGAATTACCTGATAACCCAGAATGCATAACAAAGCTAGAATGAAGAAGAAACTCAGCAGCCATGTCCACAGCATCTCCATACCCAGTCACCACGCTCTCTCTCTCTCTCTCTCTCTCTCTCTCTCTCTCTCTCTCTCTCTCCACTTTTTGTGTATTCGTCTGTGTCTTACTGTATCTGCCCTTTGACCTTTTCTCTCCGTTTGTATCTTATTTTATCACAGAAAAACACAAAATTTAAGGAATAAATCTTTCTGCTGCTTTGTTTCTTGAAGCAGAAATCCAGTTCTTGTTTTACGGCAGGTAAGTATTTCTAGTTGTACCACACTTTGGCTTCTTAAAATAAAAATTATAAAATAATAAATGCCATGGGAATTATCTCCCATAAAAACTTATTTTTAATCTAAATCAAATTAGTAAAAGGTTGAATGGTTCGTGGCCGATTCGAAATAAATAAAATGGGATTAAGGGAAGGACGTAAATAAACAATAAATAAGAGATTATTGTGCTCTAAAAAAAATTATTAAAAAAATTTAGAACATCAAATATGTTTGGTAAAATAAAAAATAAACAAATTTTAAATTGTTATCAATGACAATAGAAAACATATAAAAACAAAAGCAGATTTAAAATTTTTTTTTCAAAGAATAGTAATTAATACATATTTAATGAAATTTTCAAATGACAAGTATCATCCCATATATTTTATAAAATTACAATCATTGCTCCTATATTATTCTATTTGATAATTATTATATCATATTAAATACCATATTATTTTTAGTCATTTAACATATTATAGTAATTTATATAAAAGTTTACCAAACACTCAATGTCACATCTCGGCGCAAGACGGATCACTTCCCGGACCCGCTCCACTACCGTAGCACGATATTGTCCTCTTTGGGCTTACCATTCCTTCACGGTTTTGTTTTTGGGAACTCACGAACAACTTTCCAGTGGATCACCCATCATGGTATTGCTCTAGCCCCTTTCTCGCTTAACTTCGGAGTTCCTACGGAACCCGAAGCCAGTGAGCTCTCAAAATACCTCGTGCAAGGTAACGATGAGAATATACATATAAGGATCACTCCTCTGGGCGATGTGGAATGTCACAATCCACCCCCTTAGGGGCCCGATGTCCTTGTCGGCACACCACGACCACGGTTAGGCTATAATATCAAATTGTCACATCCGGGCCCGGGGCGGATCACTTCCCGGGCCCGCTCCATTACCGTAGCACGATATTGTCCTCTTTGGGCTTACCATTCCTTCACGGTTTTGTTTTTGGGAACTCACGAGCAACTTCCCAGTAGGTCACCCATCATGAGATTGCTCTAGCCCCCTTCTCGCTTAACTTCGGAGTTCCTACGGAACCCGAAGCCAGTGAGCTCCCAAAAGGCCTCGTGCTAGGTAGGGATGAGAATATACATATAAGGATCACTCCTTGGGCGACGTGGGATGTCACACTCAACGTTTTTTTTTTTTTTTTTTTTTTGTTGTTAAAAGCACTTTTACAAGAAAAGGGTTTACCAAGCACTCACCAACTTTATTTTACAGCTGTTTATTCTCACAGCATAATATAAACAATTTTTTTTTTTTTAAGGAATCAGTTGGTGGCTTCGACATGGTAGTCCACCATTCTGGGAGCCGGAAAGACTCATAAAAGCATTTCAGCATTCGCATGGTTCTGTCATGTGATTCACCAGCGCCAACGTGGATCTAAATTGGCCAACAAACCTTGGATGCTTAGAAAGAGTAAATCTAAATTGGCCAACAAACCTTGGATGCTTAGAAAGAGTTACTAACACATATTTATAGACTTTAGTGTACATAATTTTAATGTCGTATCGTTGTAGAAGTCTCATTTCAAATGATATTTCCTATTTGAAATCAATCTACATATCATGTAATTAAAAATTGTGCCCATCGAGTGACGTCTAAACAAAATAACGGTTAACTTAATATTTGATGGGTGGAAGTGCAAATCGTGAAACAATTTGTAACTTCAAGGTAGTAACGTTAATTTAGGGGACTGACTATAATACTTACAAGTATTTAGTATCGAGTCAGAAATTTGGGGCTCATTTGGAAGCTACATTCAAAATGACTGAAAATATTTTCAATGATTGCTTTTAAAATGACTAAAACTATTGTGAACTTTCCTAGTTTAAGTGTGATTGTGTAAATCCTAGATTAGATTTTACTATAGTTATTCTTTCCTATATGGACTTGTATTCCTTGGGGATGAAAGATTTCTTCTCTCCTTTTACTACTATAAATAAAGGCACTATGTGATGATTTGTCCCGGAATTTACGAAAATGGAAGGGTATTTTTATAATTCCACTTTAGGTTGAAAGATATTTTTGAAATGTGCTTTTAAGTCTTAAATTGTGTGCCTTGTAGGGCCACTTTCCTTTTTGGTCCCTCGATTCTCCCTCCACTTGCTTTGGTTGCCACGTGTCCTCCCAAGAAAGACTCTCAGATCCCTTGCTTCTTTCACAGCAAACTCACAATTCTCTCACTCTCTCTAACCTTCTTTCCTCCCCGAGCTCACCCACACACCAACCTTCCTTTTTCTCTCCTGATCTCCCTTGGACCTCATCACTTCTCTCATTCTTTTTCTTCCTCTGCAAGTGCAAACCGAGACGTAACACCATGAAAGCTAATGCAAAAACAAGGGGAAAATCTGACAAATCTCCACCATTTCCAAGTTAGTAAGCCTCAAAACCCTTTTCTCTTTGTCTCAAATAGATGTTGCTATGATATCTAAGGTTTTATACTCGTTTTTAGTGAAGGTTTGACTTGAAAACACCTTTGGGATACTTCTCTAGATTCCAGTGAGAATGCTGTGACTTGCAGGCCGTTTTCCGGCCAACTCTGGCCATGATTAAGGAAACAAGTGGTATGATTTGAATCATTATTCCTTGGGCTTCAATTTGGTTTTGAGGTTGAACGGAGTTGGGAGAGCTCCGGCCTTCTTATCTATCGAAAGTGGCCAACCGGGCCTAAAAACGGGTCGAACACAACACACCACACTTAGCCGGCCCAATTCTTTGGGCCATGGAACTCAACCCAAACCCTTTAAACCCAAAAACCCTTTGAACCAAAACCCCAAACTCTTGGGTTGGGCTGCCAGGCTCTAACCCAAGCCCAACCCAGACGTGAAACCCAGCCCATAAACCTTTCTGCCCAAATCCAGGAACCAGCCTACCCAGATGGAATATTCTTTAGAATATCAAAGAAGATTCCTAGAATATTCTATGTTGACTTTTACAAAATTTGCCCGAGACCCCTCTTAGAGTAATTTGAAGTCCTGAATTTGTTTTCGACATCCATTTTTCCCAAATTCAATCATTTTAGTATAGTTTTATTAATTGGATCCTTTATATGCTTAGGTGTAAATATTCGTGGCATTTCCGTCCTCTCTTGTTTGCACGGCTCTTCGCCATCAGTGTAATGTGAGTAGACCCCCTCTAAAATGCATATTTTACTATTAGAAATGCATACATGAAAAACATGATTTAATGGTTACGTTTTATGAAACGTTTATGAGTAAATTAGATTTACACTTTATTAGATATCATGCTTTACTGAGGATATTTTGAAATACCATACTTTATCGATTTTCACGTTCTTCATAGTATATATGATTCATGACTATATACTACAAATAGGTTTTACGATATGACGTTTTAGCTATTGAACTCCAATTAAGATAGATATATATTTATGTACTTACTTAATGGTTATTCGAACTGTCCTGCCTACGGGCATATGTTTTGCCTACGCCCGTATGTTTTACATACGGGCGATTGATACTTATATTGGCTTCGATCGGGTGATGTAGAGGCATACGGGTTGAATGATATCTATTTATTGGCTTCGATCAGGTGATGTAGGGGCCTACGAGTTGAAAGATACTTATATTGGCTTTGGCCGGGAGGTGTAGTGCCTACGGATGAATGATACTGCCTATGGGCGAATGATCTGCCTACAGGCGCATGATGTAGAACCTTCGGATGAATGAAGAAGTGTTCTATATGCCTTCGAGTGAATGAAATATTATATATATATATGCCTTATATATATACCACTACTAAGCACATTATATAATATATGTTTTATGAAATGTTTTATAGCATGCTAGGGTTTTCGGAAAAACCTATTACTTATTATACTATACGAGTTTTCTAAACCTGGGAGTTAGTACGTTAAAGATTAACTGTTTCCGTAGTACTTATATATCAACTTAGTCCACTCATGTTTTGTTTTGCGCCCCCTCAGTACTTAGGATCGAGGTGTACAATCCCAGCATCAATGCATTCCCACATCGGCATCTTTGAGTCTTCTCAGTGTATGACCCATCCTTTTGTTCATTCAATTTTATATTATTCCTTCTTAGTGTCTCATTTTGGTTGTATGCTCTAAACACGTTCCATAAATGCATATTCTTTATAATTAAATTTACAAATTTTATTTATGTCGGTTAATTGTTCTTAGTTCTCATGCATCCTAATATTGCTTCGTCACCTTTGGGTGTCGGCCAACACCTGTTTACTTTGGTGTTTGGGAAATATCAGGGTCGTGCGTGTCAATTTGGTATCAAAGCGTGGTTCATTCAGAGCATACTTAGGATCTTCTGTTAATGTGGTGGTGTGTCGGTCATGACATCATTTAGATGTCACGACTTCCGGATTTGTTGTCATTCAGCACAGTTGTGCAACCCTCATTCTGCATGAATATTCATGTCCTATTGAAGAATAAGAAATTTCATGTCAGGATTGTGCCTCATAAGTATGGATTGTTGGACGACTCTCAACATTGGACTGATACTCTACAACATGTGTTCCTTAGGAATTGCCGGTAGAGTTGGTTTTACAATGAAGTGACCTGAAATTAGAAATCTCAATAATTCGTGCAGATCCTTAGCACAATTCTCGACGATTGTTCTATCGATAACCTTCTTGCTTACTCTAACCGTGAGGTCAGGTTCATTAAACATTGATAGTCAGCTATACACCAAATTGTTTTTGTTTGAAGTAGACATTTTTCTTGGGAGTTTATTTGGGAGCAGATGTTATTCTCATCAATTTCCAAAAAGACGACCGTTGGAAATTGAAAATCCTCACATGGTATTTTATTAAATGTTTGGCTGCACATTGATGCAGCAGGATCTAGTAATGCGTGTACTTCTTGACGATTGGAACTGCAAGATGTGAACCATCATATCCTTAACCTAGAGTTGATAACATTCTTCCTTGCTGTAAAATATGACGAATTTTTCTCTATAGTGAGAAATGTTGCATCATTTTTTACCAAAGAAGTTATATTGTGTTT